TTCGCATTTTTACTTAATTGTCTGTTTAGGGTTACAATCTCAAAATTTTAAGTCCGGAGATCGTTCGAAATGCACAAATTAAGGCTTATTCGTTTTGGATAATTAAAAATGAAACAACTAGTAAATCAATTAATTAATTATCCAAAATAATAGCGTTCATTAACTCACTCTGCATATACTCTAGGGAGAGAATTGGTATAGTACAATAACTACATTTTGCTTGATATTCAATAGGAACATTGTCAATAAATGAACAATAAAATTTTGTTTTTCATAAAAATTGAAAAATCCGAAGAAAACTTAATTGTTCTGAAGTGTCTCCGGACTAAAAATCGACAGTTGATAGATAACCTTGTAGTCTGTTATTAATAAATCTTGTATTTTATATGTATGTGACTTGTTAAATTTTGGGTAGCATTTTCGCTGGAAACATAGAAGGAAAAGCTTTCTGACATAAAACTTCATTTTCCTTTTAAAAAGAGTACTTTGAGAACTTTATATTTAATATCTTCAGTAAATTTAATAACCATAACTTGTAATTATTTTTTTAACTTTCTTTACTTTCATAAAAGGTGGTTTTATTTTTATATTTAATGTTTTTTGAAATTAATTCTAATACGTATATGGTTTTTGCGATATCATTGTTCTATAAAATCATCATCAGGTACAATAACGTAAATTTTTCACTTACGTTAAATTTATTTCTGAGAATTAAAAATTTAGTTGTTTGTTCTCAAAGTACAAATAAACTCTGAAATTGAAGTTATGGTCGCTGTTATTGTTACCATTATTGAACGTTAGGACTTAATAGAAAAGCATTTATTTATTTATTGTTAAACTAAAATTTGTTTAAAGTAGTCCTGCACTCACTATATATTCAGTAGATTCTATTTTTGATTAATTTAATTTAAAAAATATTAATTTGTTAAGCTGTTTTCAAAATTGTATAGTTCAAATTCTACAAATACTTGAATTTTATTAACATTCATATGATTGATGTTACGAAAATTTCTTGTTATGATTTCATACACTGTTATAAATTTACAATTGTTACAATTTACTAATGGGTACTTTTTCCAAATTGTTAGATCTTTTACTTTAAATTGTATCAAAATAGTTTTTTTTTTCTCAAAACTGTAAAGTAGAAATTTTTCAAAAACTTTATTAAAACATTTAGTAGAAGTTATAGGTACATTGACATTTTTCTATTTTGATTAGTTGTCTGATAGTAAGCAAAAGCTTTTTATTTGTTTAAACTTTAAGTATTTGAAATCGTTATTATAGTTTGAAAGTATTTATTCGTAATAAGTAAGTATTATTCCAAACTTTTCAATAACATACAATTAGCCATTCAAAATACATTTCTTTTGCTCGAAAGCTTTCATTATTTTTTTACTTTTCCAAATATTGTTTGAAGTCACCTTTTTTATTTTAATTTTATTTAAGATATACATTAAAGCAAGGATTTCATTTGATTTGTCTTAATTAGAGATAATTAAAACATTTTAGAAGGCATATTATATTTGCCACCTTGTTCTAATAATAACAAATGTTTTTTATTGAAATGAGTTTTCAGTAGACTAACTTTTTAATGCAGTACCTACCTACCGATCAGAAGCGTGTAATTAAAAAATGAGAAAAGCTTTTACGCAAAACAAAAAAGTATAGAAAAAAGTCATGACTTTCACGGATTTCTTTTGTTTTCTTTTAAAATCCTTTCGAGGTATGTAATTTATGTAGGCTTGCGTCAGCCTTTGTACCCAACTAAATGGTTAGTTAAGTACTTATTGTCCCGAAATCATCGACTTGATTAAATCTGCTTCAATTAAATGAATGTTAATTACCATTTTTAATGAGGGCGCATGCGCGCTTTCTCAGTCCCTATTACGAAAAGCTTTTTCTTCAATGTTTGTTCCGCGAAAATGTAAAAGCGCCAGCCAGTACGCTGACGGCTGTGGTACAGGACGGTGGTGATTGAGAAGTAGCGCGACGCGACGCGCCGGGAATGCTGCAAAAGCATGCCGCTTTTCGGGGTCGTAAAAGTATCTTGTGAAAAGTGTTAAAAGCGCGAGTTTTTATTGTGTTTAGTGACGAAATTTTTGATTTTTACGGTAGTGTTAGTTATACTGCGTTCGAAGCGTTTACCGAACTTTATAAACTTTTTGGAAATGCAGTTGGACATGGAATTGGATTGAATAAAAGGGGGAACGGTGAGTCCTAATTTTTGTAACAGTTGGGCCGAAATTTTCAACAAACTGTCATTGATATTTGTTTTAATAAAACACAATTTGTTGAGAATATTGGCAATTCTGTAATGTCTTTTATAGATACATCGATTTATATTTATATTGGTAATTTGGAGCACTCATTGTCCCCTAAGAGATTAATGAAATTAGTCAGGTATAATTCATAAGTTCTATTTTTACGTATCCTGTCAAAAATCGTTTAATTTTAATATAGTTCAACATATTTTATTTCAATTTTTTAAAAGTTGTATTAATTGACAACAACAACCATCGTATATTATAGACGAATTTCATTTACTGGAGATATAAAGTACAAAAAAAAGATTGTAGGTATACTTTGGGCACGTATTCTGAATTTTTTGCAAACTAAAAGAATTTTCTAATTAATGATGATCCAGTGTTTTTTCTACATGTTCAGATAAATTCGTTGTTTTCAAACAAAAACCTAATTAATCTATGACAGAATTCATTTTCCTTGCTTACTTTTGAAAACTTTGAAAGAGAAGATATTACATATTGTTATTATTTGAACAGCAGGTATTCGATTTTTACGGTAAATCTCAACGACTGACTTTTAAATGACTTTGCAAGGTTTATGAGTATCCCGAGTCAAAAAATTGGGACTCATTTTGTCCTCATTTGATCTCAATAGAATTTGTAGGGATATTTCAAACTACAAGACTCAAAAGTCTCATTTTATCCGCGGTTTTCCCGTATCAGGACAAAATGAGACTTTTAAGGAGTAAAGATTATTTAGGAAACCTCATTTTGTCTTCAAAAAGTCTCATTCTTTTCTTGTTGAGGTTAAATTGAGGACTATTGCCATAGGATTGCAGACATTGAGAATAAAATGAGACTTTTTAGAATCCAATGTGATGAGTCTTATGAAAACTTATTGAGGTATCTGAGATTAAAAACGTCTAAATGAGGAAAAAATGAGTCTAAATAGTTCATTTGAGGATAAAATGAGTCCCAATTTTTCGACTCGGGTATATTCAAAAGTCAATTCCGTCAATTGATGCACTTGCAGTACCTTATTCAGACAGAAATCTTATTCGACGTACTTGTTTTATTTTCGATTCTCTCATTAAATTTTATCATAAGAATTGAAATATGATTTCGTGTGGTACGTTTGTTGAACGGTTCGTTGGTTAAGTACAGTTGACGTCGCGGCGCCCGACGTCGGTGGTGGTAAGTTGGACATCGTCGCAAGTCCGCCGATTTGCGACAACAGTTTTATGGAAATGGTTGAACGGTTTCTTTGTTGGTTTCTATTGTCATTTGAAGTTATACAGAGCAGAGGAGACGTGGGACAGCCCGTCCATTGTTAG